TTCTAAAGGACAATCTCTTAAGATAATGTTTATCCTTCAGTGTCTTTATGGGAAGCCTTAAAACAGCTGTGCCTGCCAAAAGCCTGCTTATCCTAGTAAAACCACTGAACAGCCACCATTGTAAGCACAGACAATCATGTCTGGGACCAGCAAAGGCAGCATGGATCATCCTCCAGGGTCATCTGCCCTCGGGGGAACTGAAGGGTCTGGCAGCCGCTGACACAGCACCTGCTCAGGAGAAATGTAAGGTGACGCACAGCCTCCTCTCTGTGGACAGACCCTGTTCATGGCAGAGTCTGGGCTGAGGGCGAGCAAGCTAAAGGCCCTTTCTGTACTGGGCTTGCCTTTTTTAAATGTTTAATTAAAGGGACATTTTTTGACACCCTGTTGTCATTATGAAAAGTCATGCTGAGATTTTTAAAATCCACGGCTGCTGTCTTAAACTGGGTTCCTAACTTTCCTGACCAGAAAAACCACGGAGTTTGTCTTGAACCCTGCTAAGAGAGTCGATGGTCTGAAACATCAAGCAGGCCTGGGCTGAGGTCACTGGGTCACTGGGGCAGGTGACTTAACCCTTGAGTCAGTTTCCTCATCTCAGAAATGAGTGAATAGTACCTGCGGTGAGGAAGTCCTACATTCCCTGGTGGAACCTACAGTGCTTTGCAAAAACCTTTGACCTTGAACTTTACAACTCAATAAATGCTGGCTTGTTTGGTGGCAGCGTTTCTGGCATGCGCTCACTACCCCTCGGGTGCTGATGGCTCACAAGCTGGAGGATGCTGCCGCACAGCACCTGGGACACAGGAGGCGCTGAGCAATGAAATCAGCCATTTCATCCCAGACAGAGACATGCCCAAGGCCACTGGGTTTGGTCTTGGAGCGCTTCCGAATTGCCAGGCATCATGCTAAGAACTTTGTATTCACCGCATCACTTCATTCTTGCAATGTCCCTCTGAGTAAGCACTAGGATCGTCCCCATGTACAGATGGGGAAACTGAGGCTGGGATCAATTCAGTAACTGGACCAGGACCAAGATCACTAAGCTTGGAAGAGATGGGGCAAGCAGTCTGACTCCAGACCCTGCTCCCACAGAAAGGGAGTCAAAAATACGATTTCCCGGTTATTAAATAAATACACAGGCATTTTGCTAGTGGGCTGTCTTTGTTCGTCGGATCTAAGTTAAGAGACTTTCTTGTGGTGAGATTCTTCAGCAGGTCCATGTCTGCTGGCGGTCCTGAATTTACGTGTGTGTGGGTGTTTTTTTTTTTTAAGACAATTTCATTTATTTATTTTTAAATATATTTTATTGATTTTTTTCAGAGAGGAAGGGAGAGAGATAGAGAGCTAGAAACGTCAATGAGAGAGAAACATGAGAGAGAAACATCAACCAGCTGCCTCTTGCACACCCCCTACCGGGGATGTGCCCGCAACCAAGGTACACGCCCTTGACCGGAATCGAACCTGGGACCTTTCAGTCCGCAGACCGACGCTCTACCACTGAGCCAAACCGGTGTCGGCTGAATTTATGCGCTTTTTGACGCGCTCTTTTTCTCTTCTGAAAGGCACTTGAAAGTGTGAGGCTGCAATCCTCAAAATGGCACATCCCGGTGTCTCTCCACCCATCGGCCACATTGGGGCGCTCCAGCCCAACCCATGTTACAGCCTGGCCCTGCCTGCCTGCCCAGAACTCTTCCTCCTCACTCTCCTAGAAAAGCTTATCTCCTCATTCACATTTGCACATGACAGGCTAGCGAGGGGCCGCAGGCTTTTGGTGGCTTTGGTATAGGTTTGCTTGGTCCCAGCCCCGGTTCCCAGCCAGTCCCAGACCAGAATCAGCCTGAACCAGAGAAGATCTATATTCTGAGGCCCCACTGAAAAGGAACAATCTTCCCTGCAGCGGCAGAGCCTCGGGATTTCAAAGAACAGGCTTCCATTTATGTCTGGGCTGCCCACAGCCATAAAGCAGAGAAAAGCAGGGGCAGACAGGCGGGCAGTCTGGCTGGCGGGAGGCTGCTTCGGAAAAGGGTTCTGGGGGCCTTTATGTTTGATGTGGGTGTGGAGTGTGGTCATGGGCTCCCAGTCCCACTCAGAGTGTGAACTTGGGGCAGTCTTCTGACCCTGGCCTCTCCTTACCTTACAGAGGAAGGAGCCGTGCTCTGTGCTCACAGTTCCCGCCCATGCCAGCGGTCTCAGATTCTGGCTTTTGGTTGCCGGCCAAAGTGAGGTGTGACTTTGCTAAAGTTATTTTTGGCGGGGATCTGGCAGACATCCAGCTAGTGGTGAATGTCTGCCTCATGCAGTTGGCATCTTTCTTTTTGGAGACCTCATCTATGTACCTACATAGAAGTCTAAGATGCTTGAGCTGGAAGGGACCACAAAAACCATGTAGGTAGTGCTTCATTTTTAATAGAAGAAGGACATTTAGTCACCAGCATCGTCATCATCATTGTGTCTAACAACACTTTACAAAGTGATCTTCCTGCCATTATCTCCATTTGTCCTGCCAACACCCCTCATTTCTCAGGTGGGGAGCTGGGCTCAGAAAGGCTGAGCAACTCGTTCAGGGTCACACAGCAAGCTAGATTTTTAAGTAACTTGTGTTTTGTGGAATTCCCTAGAAATCTTAGGCAGTTCCCAAGCTACCATGGGAAAGGCTAAATTCTGCTGTAATACACAGATCTGCTTACTGACTAGCTGACAGAACCAATCAGTGAACTGAGTCATTCCATTCATTCACCCACCAGTTATCTCCAATGGATGTGTCCTGGACTAAGTGCTGAGAATACAATGATGAGCAAGACAGAATGGCCCCCGAGGGGATGGCACTTAGCTCACAGCCTTATAACTGTGTTCACCGGTTTGTGTCCAATTCAATTTGTCCCTTGGATGACACACCCATCCTTCCTGCCTTCTGCACGTACGTTCTGGGAAAGGTGACACAGAAGTGCATGGTATCCCCATGGTTACCTTCTGCGTGCGTGAGCTCATTGCCAGTCCCGGTCTCTCAGTGCCCAGGGTACCTCCTGAGGACGTCAGTCAGGTGACTGACGGTCCCTACGCGATGTATTTTGGTGGCATGTGGTCTCTGGCTGCCCAATGCTACAAACGCCCTTTCCCCACAGATACAGGCGCCAGGCAGACGTGCACCAAGACGACCTGCCTGCACCTCACGGTCTGTGATCTTAGATTAAATTTTGTACTTCGAAGGATAAAGGGGAAAGGCGCACATTTTGGCGTCAGGGTTCAAATCCTAGCTCCAATTGCTGCACCTCAGGGATTCCTCACAACCTATTTAACTACTCGCTGTAAATTAAAATACAACATAAAACTGCAAAGGCCAGTCTGCTCTCGTATCCTCACCCCTCGAGGGAGAACAATCACCCTCTTGTATTTCTAACCTCAAACATCTCCTCTAAAGTCTTGCAGTTTGAACCCACCTGAGAGGCTGTCCTCCTTCATGTCACAGTAGTCTTGGCCACCGATGGATTCAGACTTTATGGTTTGAAATGTGGGGTCTTTATTTTTATTTCACCCAAGGATATGTTTTGTTGATTTGAGGGAGAGAAGGGGAAGAAGGGAGGGAGAAAAGGAGAGAGAGAGAAAGAGAGAGAGAGAGAGAGAGAGAGAGAGATCAATTGTCTCCCGCAAGCACTTGCTAGAGATCTAATTCACAACCTTGGCATGCGCCCTGACCAGAAATTGAACCCACATCCTTTTGATGTACAAGAAGATACTCCAAGCAACTGAGCCGCCTATCCTAGGGATAAAATGTTCTTGTGTACTTGGTGAGAAAGAGGTATTTCTGACTGTTTTTAAAAGCAGGGATGTAACTCGTGTGTGTGTGTGTGTGTGTGTGTGTGTGTGTGTGTGTGTGTGTATTAGGAGAATAAAAGATTACCTCATGAACCATAGAACTTTATGATTGGATGAGACCCTAATGACCTTGACCTTGACTCATTTTGAGTCAAGAAAGATGGCGGGCAGCTTTACAACTTGATTGGGAGCAGAATCATGAGCTGAGCCTGTTTTCTTGTTTATAGTTCAAGTGTTCCTACTACAAATACTTTTTATGGTAAAAACCAAACAGAAAGCACCATAGCCAGTAGTGTTTGACAGGTAGAGGGGCTGATGCAAGCACGGCTCCTGGATTTCACTCCACCATTCTGCCACGTCTTCCAGACTTGTCCTAGCCACCCCAGTAGCACAAGCTCACTTCAGTCCAAAGCGAGATGTTCAATAGTTACCACTACATTTGTAGCGGTTGTTCATGGAAATCTATTAGGAAAGTGCAGCGAAGGACAGGCCAAGCCATGTGCTTTGGAGCCACCCAGGAGACAGTTAAAATGCAGAGTTCCTGCCCTAACCCTGAACCCCTGGGTGGTACCCACAGTCTGGCAATTGAGAGCCAGACTCCTCCTTAGCGGATGCTCAGGTCTGAGCCCGAGTGCCTCGGGCTAACAGCTCTTGGGGAGGTTCCTCAGGTGTTTGGAGTGACTTAGAAAGGAGGGTGCCCATAAACCTGGTCACATAGTGGACTAGACTGAGCTAGAGCTGCATCAAGACCACAGCTGGTGGGAAAGGTAGTGTGCTTTAGCTCAGAATTTGTTTTAAAATCTTGCCCTTAACATATTAGTTTATGAAATTATGTGGTGATAGGATTTAAGCCTTTTTTTTTCATTCAAGAGACATATTTTTTCTTAAATAAGGAAGTCTGGGAATCTTATAGGATGGGCATACATCTCAGAAATGGTTTTTCTTTGCTTTATTGCTGCGGGGAGTGGTTGAGGCCCCTACCGCCACCTGGTGGCAGCACTGGACTCTGCATCGTTACTATGAGCATGATGTGAGCCCGCCTGGGGCCCACCTTCCAGTTTGTCATTTCAGCAAGACTTCAGTCGAAAGTGAAATCACGTGGCTTCAGCGTAGACAGTGCCACAGCAACACCACAATCCAACGAATAGACACACTGACACCCACGTCCCACTGGCTTCATTTTCCAGGAATCAGCGGCGGCCCCTTGGAAAACCACTACCGCCTGAAGCAGTTCCACTTCCACTGGGGAGCGGTGAACGAGTGGGGCTCGGAGCACACGGTGGAGGACCACGTGTACCCAGCAGAGGTGCGTGGATGTCCGAGCAGCGTACATGCCGGGCTCCGTTGTGGGGTGGCCGACCATCTCAGTGGCCCAGAAACAGAGTTTCCTGGGAGGTGGGACTCTCTGTGCTCCAACAGTCGGACACCCCACCCGTTCAATCACACAACCGTCCTGAAGGGAGAGTGTTGGTAGCACCTTCACTTAGCAGAAGAAGAAACGCAAGTTCTGAGTGGCTGGGTAACTTGCCAAAACCAGGCGGCTGGGATTCGAGGACAGTCAGTGCTCTGAGCCTCTCACTCAGCTTGCTGGTGCTGGATTTCAGACTCGCACCTTCCTGTCCTTCAGGGTGTGAGACCACCATCGAGAATCTGAAAGTCTTTACAATAGAGATCATCTTAAAACTGTGGTCGGCAAACTTCGGCTCTTTGGCCCCTTGAGTGGGCGATTCTATTTTGAAGAAGTGGCGTTAGAAGAAGTTTAAGTTTAAAAAATGTGGTTCTCAAAAGAAATTCCAATCATCATACTATTGATATTCAGCTCTGTTGACTAATAATGAGTTTGCCGACTGTCCTAAAACAAAGTGACCTCTGAAATATTAAAAAAAAAAAAAAAAAGGGGGGGGGGAGGGGGCGGGAGATCAGGGAAAAATGAGCAGAGGTTAATGCTAGGGATTGGGTTTTGAGGTTATGGCGGGGTGATGAGTGGTAATGTATAGATTTCTCCCAATATTTTATTATGAAAAATTTCCAGCATACCAAAAAGCATGTAGTGAGAACCGTGAGTCTGCCACTCAGGCCCTAAGATGAACGTTTTGCTGTATTCACTCCATCACATGTCTGTCCACCCTCCCATCCCTTTATCCGCCCACCAACCACCTGCCTTTCGGATGCATTTCAAGTTATGAGCTGTTTTTGTTTCAACTTTCTGTTGCCGTTGTTATGGGAGTCATACGATAATTAAAATCAAACTAGAGTCCAGCCAAGCCCCAAAATAACAATGACCTGTAGTCACACGCCCAGACGTGACCACTGGCTGGGGACAGCTTATAAATAGGGAATCACACCTACTGATATAATTACACACATGTTTACAAATGTGACGAAAATGAATGAGCAGCGCCTTGCAACAGGCTCCCTTTCATTTGACCACACAGACTGTGTATCCACACCACGGCTTTGGATTAACAGATATTTGAGCAGAGGAGCTTGTTGTAATCTATTAGCATAGAGGCAAGATCAGCGATGGGACCCACCAGGGGCTCTCTCTGAGTCAGATCCCTCCTGGCCATGCCTCGGACGCACGGTGCAGAGTGCCGTTCCCGTGGGGGGCATGGAGGGCAGCGCCAGCTCCAAAGGTGGCGGCTGCAATCAGGGCTGTGGGCCAGCTGTCTCTATTTCTGGCAGATTGCAATAGGACAGCAGGTGGGGGGTTCCAGATATGCTACAGAGAAGCAGGGAGAGGCTTGCCACCTTCGTTGTCCCCAGTGCACATGGCTGGGAACACTGGGACTTGGGAATGAGGTGCCACCTGGAAACACACATGGACCCCGCACCCTGCAGAGGACCCAGGGCCCTGGCACCCAGCAGCACCTGGGGAGGGCTTGCTGCCTCCGAGTTGGCTCTCCATTCAGAAAGACCTCACCACAGCTCACTCCTGTCGAGGGAAATCTGTAAGGACTCCCAGGCCCCATCCAGGTTCTGAGCCAAACCCGACGTGGGCTGCACCGCGCGCCCTCATCACAGAGGACCCCGAGCCCGCCCGGGGGTGCTGCTCTGCCTCCTGCTGGCCAGTGACCCAGGAAAGCCTGTTTCCCAAGCCCGTCCCCTGCCCCTGGTTTAAATCCTGGTCCTCTGGCCAGTTCTGGTGCCAGAAGGAAGGGTATGAAATAAGGACAGAGGAAGTTCAAGTGAGGGTGACAAATGGAGAGGAAAATGCAATATTGGGGCATTAAAATTATATGTTGTTTATGTGAAATTCAAATTTTACTGGGAGTCCTGCATTTGACCTGGCAAACACTCTCAAGGATATCTGAAAAAATAGGAAAAATAGCAAATAACTCACTCTCTCCGACCCCATTTCTATTTTATAAAGTTAGGGCGAGCCTCTTTCTCTCCCATCCAAACCGCCAAGGCCCTTAGGGTCTGTGCTTCCATCAGCCACTTGGGGCTCCACGCATGCTGGCGGCGCCCGCGTTGCTTACACCGGCTGCTCTGGCTGAAACCATTAGAACTGCTGATTGGACACATAGGTCTGCCCACAACAGGGGAGCAACTGCTTCATTGCTCGCCGCACCGTGATGGGCACAAGGTCTCTCTCTCCTGTGTTTCAGCTGCATTTAGTTCACTGGAACGCTGTGAAATACCAGCACTACAAGGACGCCGTGATGGGAGAGAACGGCTTGGCGGTGATAGGCGTGTTTTTAAAGGTAACCTCTCGCTGGGGCTCGCCCTCCTGGGGAAGAAGTGGTGTGGGTGACCGGGCTGCCTTTTGAACAGTCTCCATAGAATGAGGGTGCTGGTCGCCCCGCCCCCTGCCTTTTGGAATGAACATGTCGTGTCTGTGCTGTGCAGCTGGGGTCCCACCACGAGGCTCTGCAGAAGCTGGTGGACGTCCTGCCGGCAATAAAGCACAAGGTAAGCCATCATATCACAGTCGGTGTCCGCGGAGAAGCAAGGCTGTAAGCCAACTGGTGCGTGTGCCCGGGGGGGGGGGGGGGGGGGGGGGAGATGGAGGGGGTGTCTGGGTCCCATCCGGAGATGGAATGCGCTGGGGCTGACTCCGGTTGTGTCTCAGCTGTCATTGTGTCACTGCTGTTCCGGGGCCCCTGTCTTCTCGGTATAAATGGGGTGCTGGACTCAATTTGAGTTTCCCCAAAAAAGTCATTCATTCCGGCAGCATCTTGAAGATGTTTGCCTTGTCCCCAGGCACTGGTCCCGCCCCAAGCAATGACATCCATTAATAATAACGTTTGTTTTATTTTTTATTTTATTTATTTTTTAAATATATTTTATTGATTTTTTTTTGCCCCCCTCCCTCCAATAACGTTTGTTTTAAAACTGATGGAAATAAATACCTAACTACTAACCTTTAAGAGTGCCTACCCAAGTGCCACCTGGCGCACCCCTGGGGGGACACAGGGCCACCCCTCCCTGAGAGCATGGAGACCACGGGAAGAGGGAAAACCCCACACCCGCCACACGCGGGAGGCAGAGCACAGCTCCTCTCGAACACCTTGTGGCACTGAGCTCGGCTCTGAAAGGCAACAAGGCCAACCATGCCGCTCTTCTCAGCCTCGGCCGAGAAAGGGCTTTGATGGAGACGTGGAAATTCCAAAGACATGCCGTTTATTTGTTCCTAAGAGGGAAGGAGTCGCTGTGGTCCTTGAACATTGTCCTTGGACGGACGGGCTCCCACCTGTCTTAACAATGGTGAGCGCGGCCCACAGGAAGGCGGGGGTCAGCCCTTCCTCAGCCGGCTCACGGGGTCCTTTGATCCGTGTGGTGCCTTCCCCTTGATGTGGACTCTGCGTGGGCCTCGTGGGACCGAGCCCAGATCCCCCTCCCCGCCGCCCGCCGCCACGGCTGCCAGCTCAGGAACTCCACAAGGGCAAGGTGCTCGGAGCATCCTCTCCCTCGCTGGCCTCCGGCCAGAGTAAACCTGGGATGTTTGCCCCACCAGCATCCACCTCCTAATGGGTGGCCTCCGTCCGCCTCCCGATGGGAAAGAGAGCAGCTGGCTCTGAGGTCCTGTTTGCTCAGGGGGTGTTTTCCTTCTAAGGAAGGCTCTGGAGCCTTCTCTCCCTCCTCCTCCCTCCTACACACACACTCACACTCTCACACTCGCACTCACAATCACATGAGCTAACTCAGGGTTCTTGGGCCAACCACCAGGGAGGAATGGTGTCTGACATGCAGTCACAGGAGACGCTGCCTGAGCTCAGTCTGGTCCTGAGGATCATCGCTGGGCCTCAGTTTCCTCCCCTGAAAAATAAGGGAATCTTAGCGGTGAAAGACCCAGCCCTGGTGAGCAGGAGCCGTAATCCGTGGCAGGGCGGCGTGCTCTGTCAGTCATTTACCACAGTCTGCGCTCCGTCCTTGGTTCTGGGCCGATTTTTTTAACGTTGCAGCGTTATGAGTCATCTCTGTGGTCTACATTCTATCGATGTGGACACATTAATGGAGTCACCCAGCCAGGCCCACACAAAACTGTGCCCTACCCCACGGCCCTCGCTCAGTCATGGCCCCCAAGCCGGGGTGACCTCTGATTTGTAACAAACCCTATGGTTTTGCCTTGTCTCCCATTTCATTATCCCACGTTGTACCGAGTGGTGCTTCCTTTGTCAGCTCCCTTCCCTCTTTCCCGAGGGATGTGCATGTTAGAAAAGGGAAGACTTTCGCGTGGGCACCCACCACCAGGAGCTGGTTTGTTGGGATTCATGCTGCACGGTGGTGCTAGCCCCGCCAATCCTCTAGCCAGCGGGGCTGGCAGACACATAGAGGGGCCTTCGCTTGCTGTGGGGCTCCGAGGGGGGGGCAGCTTTCTGTATTGGAACCCTAATGTGCCTGAGAGACAGGACACGGCTCCCGAGGACATCACTAGAAATGCATAGATGTTCTCTCAAAATGGTCATTGGCAAGAACCCAGCAGCGGGTGGTAGCCCACCAGCTGCTCCTCCGTGCGACCTGCTGTCTCACCCCCCACTACAGTCCGGGGGGCGAGGGGTGGGGAGAGGAAGCAGCCCAGCATTGGGATGGGACACACCTCCCAGCATCTGGGTTCGGCCACTTTCTAACTGTGTGGTTTGAGGAGAGTCACTTATATCTGTTTACTTTCTTCATCAATAACATAAACATACCCCTCAAAGGGTGATTCTAAAAATCAAGGGAATAGTCTCAGAAGGTGTCTGGCAGCCTTTGGGGCTGGACAAGGGGAGAAGAAGGGGATGTATCTGTCACCACAAATCCACTGGTACGCTTTGCATTTTGTCCCACGAGCCTGTGTGACCTGTTTCCTTCAAGAATTGAGCAGACCAAACAGTGGAATATCATCCCGCATGAGAAGGAGTGAAGCACCAGCACAGCAGCCTGACGGTATTAAGCTGAGAGAAGCCGGACACACAAGTGCACATGCTGTGTGATTCCATTTATAGGAAATGTCCATGTAGGCAAATGCATGTGGACTGAGAGCAGATGGAGCCTGTGGCAGGAGGCGGCCAGGTGGAGCGGTGAGGGAGGTGAGAGCCACAGGGTTTACTGGGGTTCTTTCCTTTGAGGTGACAATGTTCTAACTTGACTGTGATGATGGTTGCACCTCTCTGTCCATGAATATCCTAAAAGCCACAGATCTGTACACTTCACAGCAGTGAGTTCTGTGCTTTGTGAATTACATTTCAATCATGCTGTCTGGAAGACATTCTTCGATAATTAATCACACAGTGGAACAACACCAGCTCACGCAAGATGCCTCGTAATCATCCGTTGATTTAAACCAACTTCCTTCTTCTTCTTTTTTTAAATCCTTACCAGAGGATATTTTTCCATTGATATTTAAGGAGGGTGGGAGGGAAGGGGGAGAGACACAGAGAAACATCAATGTGAGAGACAATCAATTGGTTGCCTACCGCACACGCATTGACCAGGGATATTGGTGATGGAGCCTGCAACCAAGGTACATGCCCTTGACCAGAACCAAACCCAGGACCCTCCAGTCCACAGGCTTATGCTCTATCCATTGAGCCAAACCTGCTAGGGCTCCATTGATTTTAAAAAATATATATTTTATTGATTTTTTACAGAGAGGAAAGGAGAGGGATAGAGAGTTAGAAACATCGATGAGGAAGAAACACCGATCAGCTGCCTCCTGCACACTCCTTACTGGGGATGTGCCTGCAACCAAGGTACATGCCCTTGACCGGAATTGAACCTGGGACCTTTCAGGTCTGATACTCTATCCACTGAGCCAAACCTGCTAGGGCTCCATTGATTTTTGAGAGAGAGTGGAAGAAAGGGGAAAGACAGAGAGAAACACCGATGTGATAGAAACACATCAATTGGTTGCCTCCTGCACAGCCCCAACCAGGACCCAGGCCAGGGAGGACCCTGTAACCAAGGTACATGCCCTTGACTGGAATTGACCCTTTGGTCTCCAGGCTGATGCTCTATCCACTCAGCCAAACTGGCCAGGGCCCAATGTCCTTCTTGTGGGCAGCTTAACCAGCATCTCTCCACTTCTGAGGAATGAATGCCAGCAATCAGTGTACCAGTCCGTCCAGGTCATCCGGGCCCCATGCCTGTGGCTTTGAAAGCTGGGCGGAAGGATTCCATGTGCAGGGAGGCCTCCTTCTTTGGGAATGAGAGGGCGTCAGCTTCGTGCTTAAATCCTTCCTGGTGCCCAGCCCGGGCTGGTCCGGTGTTGAGGCCGATTGTGTTATGTTGCGTGCGGGCTTGTCCCTACCTCCTCCTCTCAGTCTCACTCAATTTATAGAGGGTGGGGCCAACCGTCCTGGGCCGTCAGCCCGAGGGACTCCGAGGGATCGTTTCCTCTCTGAGCAAAAGCCTGTGGGATGTCTCTGGGTTACAAGGAGGCAGACACTGGCCAGAGGCCCTCCTTTCTCTTTACATCCCCGGCGCCGTGCTGAGCAGCATCCAGGGAGCAGCCCCTTCTGCCTCTGCTGGTAGATTTTCTCGGTGGCCTCAGCCGGGCAGAAGCAGGGGTGTCCCCCTCAGTAGGACCCCCGCCCTGTCTCTTTTTACTGTTTGTGTGTCATTTACTCAGTCCAGCCACATGGTCACTTTGCTATTCCTCTAGCCCAGTGGTTCTCAACCTTTCTAATGCCGTGACCCTTTAATACAGCTCCTCATGTTATGGTGACCCCCAACCATAAAATTATTTTTGTTGCTACTTCATAACTGTAATTTTGCTACTGTTATGAATCGTAATGTAAATATCTGTGTTTTCTGATGTTCTTAATAATAATAATAAGTGTTTTAATAAAAATATCTGTTTTCCGGTGGGTCACGACAGGTTGAGAACTGTTGGGGGCTGTTTCTCTGGTTTCCTTGACCCGCACGGAAAATGACAGGCTCCTGAGTGGAGGAGCTGGGGATTAAGAAATTAAAGAATTTTTATGCCGAAACCGGTTTGGCTCAGTGGTAGAGCGTCGGTGTGCGGACTGAAGGGTCCCAGGTTTGATTCCGGTCAAGGGTATCTATCTGGGTTGCGGGCACATCCCCAGTAGGGGGTGTGCAAGAGGCGGCTGGTCGATGTTTCTCTCTCATCGACGTTTCTAACTCTCTATCCCTCTCTCTTCCTCTCTGTAAAAAATCAATAAAATATTTTTTAAAAAAAAGAAAAAGAAAAAAGAAATTAAAGAATTTTTAAAAAGAGACCAAGACACAGAAATAGATTCAAGCTGGGACCCAGGTGGGGGGCTGTCACTCTGATGGAGGGACAGTCAACCAACCAACCACAGACAACACAGTGCATTTATTGATTTCCAGAGGGACGTTTAGGATCAAAGGAGTTTTGGGTGTGCCCAGGTCCTATTCATTCCCTCATTCCTGGGATTTAGCATATCAATACCTGGGTAAGTAAGGTCCTATTTGTTCCTTATTCCCAGCACATGGATAAAGATAAGAAATCAGTACTGATAACAGTCTCCCACATTTTGGGAAAACGTGTTCCCATGGCTCTGCCTAGGCCTTGAGTTCAGCTGATGATAATTAAAGGTCATCCATGTGCATACCCAAGGGGCCCTCTACAGAGAACCGCTGCTATAGAGCCTAAGGCCACTGGAAAACACAGATATTAACATTATGTTTCATAACAGTAGCAAAATTACAGTTATGAGGTAGCAAAGAAATAATTTTATGGTTGGAGGTCACCACAACATGAGGAACTGTATTAAAAGGTCGCAGCATTAGAAAGGTTGAGAACACTGCACCCATCAGGCTTTACCCTACCTCAGGGCCTTGGCATTGGCTGTGTCCACCTCTAGAACATGCATGTCTTAACTACTAGATATTACTTATTATTTGGAGTACTGCCTTCTTTCCTTTGGTAAAGGGTGAGCTCCATAAAGGTAGATGGTTTTGTACCCCAGAGCCTAAGATAGCATCGGGTTTACCGTGGGTACTAAATGCATAGCTGTGAGTGAGTGAATGAATGAATGAATCAACCGTGACATCCTATCAGTGTCACTTGGAATGCAGAGAGGCAGGTTTCTCCTTATCCTATATAATAAAAGGCTAATGTGCAAACAACTGAACAGCCGGATGACCGGTTGCTATGACACACACTGACCATCAGGAGCAGACGCTCAACACAGGAGCTGCCCTCTGGTGGTCAGTGCACTCCCACGGGGAGAACGCCACTCAGCCAGAAGCCGACTCATGGCTGGTGAGCGCAGCAGTGGTGGCGGGAGCCTCTCCTGCCTCTGTGGCAGCGCTAAGGATGTCTGACTGCAGGCTTACACCTGCTCTCCACAGAGAGCAGGCCTAAGCCATCAGTTGGACACCCCCCAAGGTTTCCTGGGCTGTGAGAGGGTGCAGGCTGGGCTAAGGCCCTCCCCACCCCACCCCCACCCCCCGAGTGCACACATTTTGTGCATTGGGCCTCTAATCCTTTTATAAAGCACAGAAAGCACGCAAACTGAATTCTGAACACTGGACTCCCAAGCAGGACATGCTTATGGGAGTCCCTTGTGGGAGCAACACAGAAATCTAGGGACACAGTGGTTGAGAACAGCTGTCTATGTCCACTGATTCTGCCTGTTCCCTGTGAGAAGGGAAACTCTGGCATATGCTTAGCATTCTCTTAAGTCTATGTCATCACCACAGTCCTGGCACTCAGGGATGGCTGCTTTAGAGAGAAGTTCAGATGTCTTAAGGGGCAGCCACTGTGGAAACAGTATGACAGTTCCTCAAAACTAAACTTAGAATTCCCATAGGATCTGGCATTTCCATTTCTGGGTATATATGCAACACAAGTGGAAGCCGGTTCTTAAAGTGATGTTGGTATGTTCATGTTCCCAGCAACATTACTCAACCAAGGAGTGGAAGCTCTCCAAGTGTCCACTGACGAAGGAATGGATAAACACAGTGTGGCGTATTAGTCAGTGTTAAAAAGGGAGGAGATCCTGACACATGCTACAACATGGATGTACCTGGAGGACATTTTGCTGAGTGAGATAAACCAGTAACAAAAGGATAGACCATAACCAGTGCATGATTATTTCACTCATGTCAGGTCCCTAGAGGAGTCAGATTCATAGGGACAGAAAGTAGGATGGTGGGGGCCAGGGACTGGGGGAGGGGAATGGGCAGTTACTGTTTAATGAAGAAAGAGTTTCAGTTTGGAAAGATGAGAAAGTCCTGGAGATGGACGGGGACGATGGTTGCACAACAGTGTGGCTGCACTTTCTGCCATAGAACTCAAAAATGGTTAAAATGGTAAATTTTTATGTCATGCATGCTATTTCACCACATTTTTAAAAGCATAATATTTTCACAGTCTGTGCATGGGAAAATAGATAACTTTAAAAGAAAAATAGAAGCATTTGGTGAGGATTCATGCTATGCTACAGGGGTCCTATTTTCTTGTTACTGCTTCCAAATGTGACAACCGTGGCCTCACAGTCTTTATCTCGGGGAACACACTTCCCTTTTAGCCATGCCAAGCCACGTCTCTGAGAGAAAGATAGAGCCCTGCCCTCCTCCATGAGCCTCTGCATCTCCCATCTCCTCCTGTGGTCTCTGTCTCTCAGGAGGCACGGGTGGCCATGGGCCCCTTCGAGCCCTCCTGCCTGCTGCCCACCTGCCGGGATTACTGGACCTACCCGGGCTCCCTCACCACTCCTCCACTAACCGAGTCTGTCACCTGGATCATCCAGAAGAAGCCCATTGAAGTGGCTGTGAACCAGGTGAGGAGAGCCTGCAGCAGGGGTAGTGGGACTGTATTGGAGAAATTGTTTGGCAACGTCACTAAGATATTGTAAGTGGGCATCGTGGAGTTTTACTTTTTGGTGCATTTTGGATGTTCCTGCACCAGAAGAACGTTCCCATTGAAGTACAAGCTTGTTGACACTGAACAGAGGTTCCTTAAATCACAAAATGAGGTTCCAAAAACTCTTTGATCTTGATATATTAGTGTGTGAGAGACACTGAGACAGAGAGAGATGGATGCAGGGTGGGGGCAGGAAAGGGTAGAGAGAGAGAACATTTTAGTTTGTTCCACTTGTTTGGGTGATAGAACAGTATATATATGCTGAGATAAAATTCCAGAAGTATTGTAATGCTGTGTAACAAACCTACCCAAAACTTAGTGGCTTATAACAAACAATTGTGTATATGTTTTTGTTTTGTTTTTCTGCTTGCAAATTTATTGATTGGCTTGGGAGGCTCTATTTTATTTTATTTTAAGATATATTTTTATTGATTTCAGAGAGGAAGGGAAAGGGAGAGAGAGAGAAACATCAATAATGAGAGAGGCTCTATTTTAGGTTGTCAGTGTCTGAGCTTCACAGAAGGTGGTCAGTGGTTGGGTTGGGCTTTATGTGTCTCTCATGCTTCTTGGACCAATGACCACCAAGGGCTGGTTCTCATGGCAAATGACAATAATGCAAAAGGCAAGCCAAACAACACATGCACACATAAGGCTTCTGCTGGCATCACACCCATTCCCATCCTGTTGGCCAAAGCAAGTCACAATGGCAAGACCAAAGCCAGTGGGGCAGAGAGGAAGGGAGTGAGTATTTACTGAACAATGCCCTGGTTTATCACATACACACCAAAACATTACTTCTCAATATCCCAGGGTCATAGATCTGCAGTGATTTTTATTTTCTTCCTTTTTCTTATCTAAATTTCTATAGTTCTAAAATAAATATATTTGGTGCACAAAATTTGTGAACGGCGGTGGGTTGTCCCTCAGCCCATCCTGCACCTCTCCAATCTGGGACCCCTCAATGGATGTCCCTAAATGGGCAGATGGACACACCTTTCACAATCCAGGACTGCTGGCTCCTAATTGCTTGTCTGCCTGATTGCCCCTAACCACTTCTGCTTGCCAGCCTGATCACCCCCTAACAACTCCCCTGCCAGCCTGATCAATGCCTAACTGCTTCCCTGCTAACCCGATTGCCCCTAACTGCCTTCCCCTGCAGCCCTGGGTCCCCTTCAACTGCCCTCCCCTGTAGACCTGGTCTCTCCCAACTGCCCTCCTCTGCTGGCCTGATCTCCCACAACTGCCCACCCCTGCAAGCTATCTTGTGGTGGCCATCTTGATGGGAGTGGCCATCTTGTGTATTGGAGTGATGGTCAATTTGCATATTACCTCTTTTTTATATAGAATATATATATATATATATATGTAGTTGCATTATCTTTTTCTTTGGAAATCTAGAATCAGGAGAAAGTCCGTCTGTTGAGGGCAGTTTAAATTCAGGGATGATAAGTACATAGCAAGCCTGGTGGCACTGTCCCACCCCTGCCTCAGCAGACATCTCTAATTAATCTCAGCAGTATTCATCAGTTCTGGTCAAATTGTCTCTTTTCTGAGGGCTCTAGATGCACTCTTAGAGGTACTCCCAGCCTCATGCGTCTGAAAATATTCTTACTTAAAAGTCACGGAATGATACCCTTTGCCTTGCGAGTCTGAACTTTGAGATGCGGGCTGCAGATCACCCATCCTGCCCCCAAACCAAAACTATTGCAGACATCAGACAGCCTTGGTGGAAGAATTATATCCTTGTCACCAAGACCCCGCTGTCAGTCAACTGACATGTAATAAGTACCCATTTTGGGTCAGGTTTGTAGCCAGAGAGGGTGGGAGATGGGTAGGAAGGGAGAGGGTGGTGCAAAAGCAATGATATCAGTCTCTGCAAACTGCTGTCTGCGGGGAAATGAAAACATAGTTGAGTATTATTCAAAAATGCAGAGCAGAAGCCCCTTACCCTGGCCGGGGGAGTGGGGAGGTGTGTGTGCACCCCTGGGGCAGTGGGAAGGAGATTGCCAAGGGGAGGAGAGGAGAAAGACTGCATTCTGAGACTGTGTGCACCACGCCCTACAGAACTCCAGAGGGCGCTTCATCAACCTCATAGCCCTTTCTTGCTCATTAAGTGGTCATTATAGAGATAAAATGTCACTTCTGTGTTAATTAAACATGTGAGTTTTTTTCACAGAGCTCGTAAGAATAGTCTGAGAACAAATGGGATGAGGCATAAAAAATAATATTTTAGTTCTTTGAGTGAAAAGTAAATCAAAGGTAACTTTAGCATTTATATTGTATGCATTAGATCTCTATTGCTGTGCAACCAATAGCTCTAAAACTTAGTGATTTAAAAAAAAATCATTTATTATCTCTCAGAGTTACTGTGGGTCAGAATTTGGGGTGGCTCTGCCCCCGGGATCTCTGATGGAGTTGCAGTCAGGTGTTAGCGGGGACCGCAGTTTTCTGAAGGCTTGCCTGGGGCTGGAGGATTCATGCTCCAAGTGGCTCACGCAAGCAGCCTGCAAGAACACACACCACACGGGCCTTTCCGTGGGGCTGTTTCAGTGTCCTCACACCATGGCAGCTGGCGTCCCCAGAGCAAGTGACCCAAGAGACCCCGGCGGAAGCTGCAGTGCCTTTGCTGACATAGCTCAGGAGTCACCTCTGCCATGTTGTATTGGCCACACAGGGCCACTGATCCATGGTGGGAGGGGACTGCCCACGGCCCCAGGGACGCCTGGGAGCCGTTCACTGTCTTCACACCCAGGTAACTCCGGTGGCTCTCTGTTCCAGCTGGCCGCGTTCCGCACGCTCCTGTTCACCGCGCTTGGCGAGGAAGAGAAGACGATGGTGAACAATTACCGCCCACTTCAACCCCTGATGGACCGGAAGGTCCGTTCGTCCTTCCAGGCCATGAAGGAGGGCTCCAGGTCCTAAATGCATTACATCCAAGCCAATGGCTGAACTGACTTTCAAAAGAGGAAGTATTAATATTATTTCCCAGGTCTCATGGTCTGATCATATGCAATCCGTGGAATTAAAAGGAAAGACAGAGGTCATTGTTTCAGTCAATGTACTTGTCAGCTGCAGTGAAAACCACTTCAAAGGGAGTGAATGGGTATCCGGGACCCGGAGTATCTCACAGGACTCGCAGCAGGTCACGGCAGCCTCACGGGGCTGAGCATGCCCCTGCCTGACGTCATCTGCCCAGCCCTCCCTCAGCCCCATGCTGCCTTTGCCCCGGGTGTCTTCTGTGTCTCCACGCTCATGGCCACCCCGTAGTTCCCAGGCAACAGAGTCCCGATGCATCAATGTTCTGGGGCCCCTGTAACAAATGACCCCAAACTGAGGGTTAAACATCAGAAATGTACTTTTCCATAGTTCTGAGGCTGGAAGTCCAAGGTCGAGGTGCCAACACTGCCAGGATCTGGTGAGACCTCTCTCTGTGGCTTGCAGGTGGCACCTTCTCACATGGCCTTTCCCCTCTCTCTTCCTCTTATAAAGCCACCGATCCTAACGTCCAGGAAACCCTGTCACCACAAAGTCACTCACCGGATCACACCTGCAAAGCCCCTCTGCCAGGTCAGGCCGCACAGGTCCCAGGGCTCAAGGGGTGAACATCTTGGACCACGACTCAATGGACAGGACATGCAAAACCAGCCTGCGGCAAGTCAGCCAAGCAGAGGCAGCAGCCTCGAGGCCAGCCTCCTCGGAGGCAGGGGGAGGGGTGGATTGGGATAAGTGCAAGAAGCCAGGCAGAGTGAGTAAGTGAGTGTTCCTGAGCTCCGCTACCTCAGAGCAACTTCTGTGATGGTGGCGTGACCAGAGCCACACTGTCCTGTATACACAGGTGGCCACTGAGCAATTGAAATGTGGTCAGTGTGACTGAGGAGCTGAAGTTTAATTGTATATGATTTTTTAAAAATATATATTTTATTGATTTATTTACAGAGAGGAAGGGAGAGGGATAGAGAATTAGAATCATCAATGAGAGAGAAACATTGATCAGCTGCCTCCTGCACAACTTCTACTGGGGATGTGCCGGCTACCAAGGTACATGCCCTTGACCGGAATCGAACTTGGGACCTTTCAGTCCGCAGACCGACACTCTATCCACTGAGCCAAACCATCCAGGGCTAATTGTACATAATTTTAATTAGTTCAAATTTATTTATTTTTTTAAAATTGAGAAGAAGGAAGAGGGAGAAAGGGATAGATACATCAATGATGAGAGAGAATCATTGCTCAGCAGCTTGCCTCATGCCCCACATTGGAGATTGAGCCCGCAACTCGGGCATGTGCCCTGACTGGGAATCAAATCGTGACCTTCCAATTCATAGGTCAACGCCCAACCACTAAGTCAAATTTAAATATGCAGCTCTCTTTCTAAGCCTGGGTATTTGTTACATGGGTTTGTATGTATGTAAAGCAGCACGGAAATGAACACTCAATACTCATGCACTTTACACACTTCACACGGGTATATTATAACTCAATTGAAATAAGTACTTTGCTCACCCATTTGGGAGCTTGGGTTTCTGACTGCTGACAGGATACCCAGCAATCTGGGATATTGGCTCAAGCACTTCTGGGAGTAAAGCAGACAGGTCACTGGGGCACCAGGATACACTGACGGGGTGCAGGGCTGACCATCAGGATGTCACCAGAGCCGCCTGCCTTGCTCTCGAGCTGCCAACGAAGTGCATCATGAAACACACTGCCACCAGGGAACTGGCGCCACCAAGAGAAGTCAACTCTTTATTTAAAAAACTATATTTTTATTAATTTTCCACAGAGAGGAAGGGAGAAGGATAGAGAGCTAGAAACGTCCATGAGAGAGAAACATTGATCAGCTGCCTCCTGCACACTCCCTACTAGGGATGTTACCACAACCATTGTACATGCCCTTGACCTGAATCGAACCCAGGACCTTTCAGTCCGCAGACCGACGCTCTATTCACTGAGCCAAACCGGTTTCTGCTCAACTCTTTACTGAGGCAGCACAGGTAATTCATTCTCAATAAAAATGGTTTAAAATAAACATTTGGGTTTTTAACGCCGAAACCGGTTTGACTCAGTGGATAGAGCATCAGCCTGCGGACTGAAAGGTCCTGGGTTTTATTTTGGTGAAGGGCATGTACCTTCGTTGCAGGCACATCCCCAGTGGGGGTGTGCAGGAGGCAGCTGATCGATGTTTCTAACTATCTCTCTCCCTTCCTCTCTGTAAAAAATCAATAAAATATATTATTTTAAAAAAAGGATTAAGTTTGGTGGTTATGCTGGATGAAAGAGGATTGGGCTTGAAGGAGTCAAAATCAATGTGGAAAAAGGAATGCAATCAAAACAGACACGTTTTTGTACGACTCTAAGCTGCTGTCCCTGCTTACTTATCATCCGTCATTAAGTTTACCGAGCAGCAGGGTGTGCCATCCCCAGGAACAGTTCACAGAGCGCTGTCTGTGCTCTACCAGACAAGGGCTGAGTGTGCCCAGGCATATCCGGCAATCCTCAATCCCACTGTGTGTCTGAACCCCGGGGGCCCAGCCCCAGGCCCCAAAGCTTGTGCTGCCCTGGGTCTGAGGAACGGTTTTTACCAAGCTCCCCGCTACTGGATTGTGTGGCCAAGGATGAGACCCACTTGGCTGTTATAACAAGTTCGACGAAAATTCTATGAAATTGTCCTCCTGGGGAGACCGAGGCTCACTGAGGGATTGAGACTCTTGAGATCTCTGGGTTAGGGGCCTGTGTAGCCTTTTGCTTTTGCCCTCTCTGATGTGTGCGATTAAATGCAAGGAGACATACAGCCTTAAAGCAAAAGCACAAAACCTGAACTTGACCATACGAGAAATCGTATTCTACCATAACCTGCAGGCGCATTTCCAAACTCCATCCAAACGCGGCAGCTCCTCAGCCCTCCTGCAGCGCGTGAGAGCATCCTTTTCGAGTCTGGAAGGAATTGCGGTGACTGGGGGGTGGGGGGTGGGGGTGGTCTGTGAGTTGGAGGGTGCAGAGCTGCCACGTGTCCGTTCTCTGGGGGCCGTTTCCACGGGGGCATTGGGAAGAGCTGTGGGAGGGAGAAAGGACCACAGCACCGTGAACTCGGTTCCACTTGCCACACGGTCATAGCATGTGCCAACAAGAACGCCGAGAACAGGTGGGGTACTTTCCGAACGCCGAGAACAGGCGGGGTATTTTTCGTGTGGATGTAGGTCTGTCCTCTGAATGCGCAAACACCTTTGTCTCCTGGTGGATGTTCTCTGCGGTCAGTTGTTTTTTAGAAACTGGCCTTGACCCTGAGACACAGATTTTCCTGGGGAGCACACCGAGCCTGGCGCATTGCGAGGGAGCCACAAACACACCGGGAGGAAAGACATTGATCTCAGCCCTCAAAGCGGCAGCAGCGATAAAACAAACAGGTGCTTCCACCGCCCTGGGCAGCCGCGGGAAGTCAGGCCCGAGCGGGCAGGATGGCTCCCACTGGGACACCTTTGTGTCTGGAACTGTATTGTACAATTTCTGGCCCAACTTTTAAAGTTCAAGGCGTCCTCCCTTTGCTTTTATGTTATTTTCTCACTTTGTGAAAATACAAATGTGTGAGAGCTTGCAGGCTCATGGCAAACGGCTATTGCCCTTCCCCTCCTCCCCCTTCTACTGGTTCTTAGGTGATTGGTGGGAGTGGGCTGCAGGCCTGACTAAACCCCCATAGCCCCCTTGGGACAAAACCCACAGTTCTTATGTGGTGGCCCCTGCCCCATCCCCCCCACTCCCTCCCAGTTGCCCTTTCGATGCCTACCAGGAATCCCGCCGCTCCCCACAGCTGGTCCTGGTAGCCTGGACACCCCCTCTCCCACCTGCTCTGCAGCTGCTCCTCCTTCTGCTCTCCGCTGAAACACCTGCTCCTCACAGGCCTCCCTGGAGCCCACAGACTGCACCCGGTGCACAGCTGTACCCCAGCAGTGAAGGGGTACCTTGTCCTTAGGGCTTGTTCCTCCTGCTAAAAAGCACCCACTGACCCTGATCTCAGTAAACAGCACTTCCACCCACCCAGCCTAGGGGAACCCTCATGGCTCCTTGCACACTATTCGAGCATCCCAAACAGCAGTGGGTCCTGTGGGCAGATCCCCTATCCCTGTGGTCGGCAAACTTCCGCTCACGAGCCACACGAGGCTCTTTGGTCCCTTGAGTGTGGCTCTTCCACAAAATACCACGGTCTGGGTGAGTCTATTTTGAAGAAGTGGCATTAGAAGAAGTTTAAGTTTAAAAAATTTGGCTCTCAAGAGAAATTTCAATCGTTGTACTATTGATATTTGGCTCTGTGGACTGATGAGTTTGCCGATCACTGCCCTACCCTATGGCATGTTTCAGACCTGCTCACTGTTCTCCATTTTCTCTGCTACTGCCACGAGGCAGCCCCATCTCTAGCCGGAACTGTATCGCCAGCCTTCTGCTCTTGCCACTTCTTCCCAGCATCTCTCACCCTCACCCAATCCATTCTTCTCTTAACGGTGCAGGGATTTTGGAAGGGGGATGTCAACTTGACTATCTACTTCCCTGTTCAAAACGGAGGCCTCCTGTTACAGGTGGAATTGAGCACAAGCTCCTCCCTTCCATGTCTACCTCTGTGCGTGGGGCTCCCCGCTTGCCTTGCTGTCCCCACAGCTATTTGGGGGAGTCACCGGCTCCCTCAATCTCCTCCTCAGCCTCGGTGCTGGCCACAGGCCTCCCTGCCATTCTCTACCCTCACGGCTTGGATCCGCACTCATCTCTGTCCACAGTTAGCTGTTCACTGCCTGTCTCTCACTCTGGGAGGTAAGCCCGCTGAGGTGGTGCCCTCACTTACTCACATGCTCATGGCATCAAATAGACATTCATTGCTAGAAAGTGAAGGAGGTGCTCCATATTGTAAAGCTCAGGGCTCCTTGCCATCCCCAAGCAGC